CAATCCTAGGTTGCATTTACAGAGGGACAGAATTCAAAAATGGCTCATTCCTTTTCATATTCATATCATACCAAATGATCAACAATATCACAGTTTATAAATGTTTTAGTGATAAGATACCATCTTTAACACAACATAGTCCCAGTGCTGCTATATAGCCCTTTCCTTCCATCCACCTCCCCCTCACAGGTCCATGTGACAGATTCCTTTTTATGTAGTCTGACCTTTGTGGAAAGTCAAGCAAATTAATTTGGAATTAACTAAGTCCCTTATATAGATGATCCTGCATCCATCCTCTTTGCTTGTCCCTCTGCACCTATCTGCCATTCTATACGTGAAAACAATGGTATTTCCAATTGTTTTTCTATAATGATATTTCTTACTTTGATCCAGTATGAAAAAAGTGTTGGATCAGAGCTGCATAAGTGATGACCTCCAAACTAAATGCAGCCCTCCTGCCATATACTGTGAGCCAACCAGGCACTGAGCTCCCCAGTTCTGTATTCCAAAGCAAGCAGCAAAAACAACTAGAGTGTTGTTAATGCTGCAGGCAACCTTTTCTTGTTCCTATCATGCATTACCAAATCAAGAAGCAGTGCAATGCGTGCAGCTTATATGGAAGGAGGAAGAGGTTGGGGCTGGGGAATCTCAGTTCAAAGCCACACCATCTATCAAACCCCCCTCTCCCAGTCTTCCAGCCCATCACAGTGCTGCTGTGATGATAAGGAGGATAAGCAGCATACAAGAGGAATCAAGAAGCTATTCACAACCGTTTTAAGTGTTAAAAAACACTTATCATTCAATTGCCTATCAACATCGCTATTATGTGCAGTTCTGTCTATTCTTTACTCCAATACATTTCAAAGCACGCAAGGACAAGTCTTGCTTCCCCTCTTGGACCATGGAATTGACATCGAGACTCAGAGTGAACTAATTTAACCTAAGCTTCTGGAAATATGAAAGGAGCTTCTGGCCTTGAAAATGTCACTGCGTTCTTTGTACATCACACAGTTCTCACATCACACAGCGCTTTCTAAATCCCAGAATGTTAATATGCACATAAAGGTTTGAGTCTGGGGGGGAAAAAAACCATGTATGTGCATGTGTTGATCTACATTTCCCTCCCTGCAGATTAAACTCTGACAGGTGCTTTGCATGTCCAAAGACAGTGCAAGTGGCTACAGGAAATGGATGGCATGTGAGGATTCTTGGACTGCCCTTCTCTGCCTTGTACTCTAGGTCCAAGTAGTGACCGTAGTTGATATGGGCCGTGGAATTCTGTCAGAAAGTTGACACTGCCGAATGTTCTTTCTCTGCTAGTCCCCTTCTCTCAACCATCTTTGGCACCCTAAAGCCTGTCTCCATTTCTGACAGATTGTCCCAGTGCTGGCTGGGTGATGCTGTCAATTGCTCTGTGCCTGGGAGACTAATGCACTACCCTGCCGCTTCTTTGTCAAATTCTTGCAAGAAAGAATTTATATTCTTGCAAGAAAGGTAAGAAACATGATGGAGATGGGGCATCACTGGAGGTTTTTAGGAGGGCTACCTCACTTCTTGACAGGTGTTGGACACGGTAATCCCTTTTAACTCTTTCCCCCTCTTCTGCCCTCAAATCCAGTACTACTTTTCTGGGGGGGGGGAGGATACATCTGTCCCCAACTGCTATATACTCTCATTTATCTTGTTTCCTCTCCTCTTCCTAAAACCTTATTCACATCCCCTTGCCTTGGGTGCAGTTTCAACCCTGACAGCAGCCAGAGAATTAAAAATATGCTAGCCTTCAAATTCTTCCTGCTTCCCCCCCCCCCCCAGTCTCTTTTCTCTCTCTCAGTAAAAACTGCAAGTAAGGATGGTGAACTGCTTGATTTTCTGGGAAAAAATATCTTTCTTCTCAAATTCTCTCACAAGTCATTTAGCCTGACTCTCTATCTTCTTCTTTCTTAGATTCCTGGACATGTGAGCCTTAGCTGACCTGTTGATAGTACCATTAACTTTGGATCCCATCCACCTTACCAAAGGATCTGACAGTCTTCTTCATCTTCTCATCTTCCCCTGTACTCTCTAGCATCAAATCGAGCTGTAGCAAAATTGGCAAATTTATTTGGCAAAGCCTAATTATTTCAGCCTGAGCCATGGAGTTTCTGCAGGAAAACCAATTTTGAAATACTAAGGATGCAGCATCACTTTCTAACCGGAATTTGTACACACCTGGCACTTGCCCAAGGGAAAATTTCCTGCACAATCTATGGAATATAAAACCTGCATTGGCATAAAATGAATGTTTGAGGCAACTTTCACACTTTAGCCTTCATTATTCATAGAGAATCCAACTTTCTGAGTTTATTTGCTAATTTATTTATTCATTAGATAGATTTATGTTGAGTCTTTCCAACACACTTAGAAAATTCAAGGTAATTTAAATAATTTAACATTGGTAACATCTAGCAACAATTAAATGCTGAAAGCATCTAACGCGATGGAACCAGAGATTATAAAATACATAAAAGTAATTTTAAAAACTAGCGTAATGTCAATGGCCTATTATAATTTTATCAAGACATAAGGCAAACCGATTGAGACAATATATGTGGAGTGAGAGTGACAATGCCAGTTTTGTCACAGCAACACTCTTCCCACAAGCTCTGCTTTAACCCTTTTGCACAGTGCAAGGAATGATCCAAAAGGGACACGCTCACAGGTTTGGCTGAACATACTTAGAAATCCTTCCTGCTGTTCATAATCCCTATCATGCAAGCTTCCCAAACATGAATGCATGGCAGGTGGAGGGAGGACAGGAAGCAATCCTAGTTGTATTCAACCAAATACAGAAAGATTCCACCTTTCTCTGGGCAAGGCCATCAAGTGTGGAATCACAGGGATGCACGTGAGGACATGACCCACCACTGGTATCCCTGCCTTTCCCTGCCACACTTCTCGATACAAATCATGATACACTTCAGGTGATACAAAAGTCTTTTCAAAAATAGCCTCACATCTCAATTTGTTGTGAATGTCATATTTGCCAAATTCAAATTCAGGGAATTTATTGCTTTCTTTTTTTTCTTTCTGAACACAATTTAACTGTTCTCCATATGCTTGACCACTGCAGATACATGAAATATCTCTCTCTGAATCCTGCTGGAAAGTTGGTTCAGGTTCAGCAAAAACCATTTGGGCATTGCTAAGTATAAGGAAGCCATAGCAAGGCAGAGAGGCTTAGGTTCCATGGGATTAAAGGAATCTGTTCCGCCCCTCCCCCCTCCAAACTTCCCGGGTTCTCAAAGATCCCCCAACCGAAGGATCACAATAAATCAAAGCAACACAAGAAACTGGAACATCAATGGACCATAGAGAGAGAAAGGCAGTCTTGAGGAACATGAACTGAACAAGGAGTTCAAATGTTCACAACTGCTATCTGGGCTCTTTTGGATGGGGGCTAACACCTCGACTGGAAGATAATAACCTTCTGTGGCTTCCTTTGTTGTACTGGCTGCAAGAACAGTTTTGGGCAGGCCTAGCACTTTTCAGAAATGGGAAAGTGTAGCCTGTCTCTCTTGGAGAAATAGGGGAAACCCTGGCACCATTTCCTTCAGACAACTGACAAAAGACCACCCTCTTACCTGAAAACAACAGTTTAAATGAGGTTCTTTGTCATTTCCCTGACAATAGCAGAGAAGAGACACACATGGGGGAATAGATAAGCACCTGTCTCTCCCTGGGGCAGCTGCTGCTTTAGTGAGGGTTTCATAGAAGGTCCCCTTTGACCTAAGATAGCTCACTCTTTTGCTCTGTTCAGCAGCACAACACTGAGGATTAATTTAGAAGTGTCTCCAAAGAAAAATTATAAATCAGTGGCGGCTCCCTATCCCCCCCCCTGCCCTGCAGTTACAGCTTTATTACACACAGCTGTGCTCTGCACTGATGTCCCTCTGGCACACCTTCCCAGGGCACAAAAGAAGGGACTTCCCTCCCTCCTTCCCTCCCTTGCCCCGAATCCCCATTGAGCACAGACCAGGCATTCAGAGGTGGGAAGATCAGGGAGGGTCAATGCAGCTGTATTTACAGGCAGGCCAAGTATGGACTCAGAGCACCCCATGCATCGCTGCCAGCCAGCACTGCGGCTACAGTTCCCTTATCCCTGACAAACCAGATTGCTTCTTATTATTTATGGTTGGGTTTTATTCTCTGGGACATCATGATCCTCTCTCAGGATTTGTGCCCTTTTATTTTCCAGGCTTCAATAATTCCTCAAGTGCAGTTTCATGTGGTTTTGTGATTGTTAACCCAGCATGTGCATGAGGCTCAGGCCATTAATGCTCAATGAATCTTATGTAGCAAAACATAGTCTGCAAGACCATTTTCTCCTTCATTGGCAGTCAGAAAGCACACTGCAAGGTATAAGCTCAACAGAGTGTGTTTTCCCAAAACACACTTGGTATCACACCAAATCTGCACCTCTTCAAGCTCCATTTCAGACTTGACTGATCTCCCAGCATTCTCTGTTTCATTTCTGGGTCTTCTCCGGTCTACTACAAAAGTACAATTTTCCTTGGGATTGCTGTAGCTGGACTTGTGGATGGACTCAACTGGTCCTTCCTTGTCTTCATTCCAATGGATGTTCAAGCAGAGGGAGGGTTCATGGCCCTGATCTCCTCAGAACGTCTCTTCCCTCCCTCAGTCTGGCCACCTAGCAACCAGCAACTACAGTCACACTATTGGGAAGAACGGATGCATATCAGCCTTTTTCCCTTCCCAATTCATAAAAGCTTTCAAAGGCAACAGAAGATGGGCAATCAGATTACCGGAACATTTCAAGATTTGTCCACTACTTCAACATTTTTCAAGATAAAAGAAAAATGACTCGGGAAGAGGACTTCATCTTTTGATGTAAGCTGAATGAAATACCAAAGATGCCTTACAGATCTGAGTTCTTCAATTCCACTATCAAGATAATTTTTTGAAATTTGGAATTGTTTTAAGAAAGGAGGAGAAGTACTTACTTTGTGATTTTTGCCATGCCGGTACATCATCCAGTCTTCTCCATTTGTGCTGACCTCCAGTTTGTATGAGCGAACATAGTATCCATTTTGTGTTTCTCTGGAAATGGCGCCCTGAGTAGCAATGGCTGTCAGCACTGTCAGAAAGCGAAGATCCACCTATTGTGGGAGCAGGGGGCGATGACAGGGGAAGATTAGCAGGGAAAAAAAGGCTTACTCCCATTACCTGAAACATTTGAGGTTCTTTCAGATATAATATTCTTGTGATACTTCAATAGCCATAAAACTGAATGAAAATGCAGACCAAGATGAGAGAGAATTAGTAAACTACTGTCATAAAAATGCAATGAGCCCATCATTCTGTTGTGGGCTGCCTTCCAGTTGAACCCCGTAGTCTCTCAGAGAGATATCAACAATATACACAAGAAGCCTATAGTGCTAAGAGAGTTCCTCAGAACAACCCATGCTGGGCTGCAGTTGCTTCAGGAACATGTGTCTGATAATCAGGTTTGGTGCTCAGCTAATATAAATTAGCATAACAATAACTCAATATTAATAGATCCCTCTGATGCAGCTTCAGCATTTGCCACTGGCCATGTCTGGAGTTCCAATTCTATCTAAATGCTGTCCCAGTATAAGAAGTTAATAGGATCAATTTTCAACTGAGCTCACATTCCTAGATGCAGCAACATGCGAGCCATAGAAGGAAATGTTTTCAGTCTGTGGTTTTGTTACAGCTTCCAAAATTGAACAAGAATAGCACATTTTGGAATTGCCTCCCCCGCTTGTCTCTTTCTTGTTGGATTGGACTGTAAACATTTCTAGGATAAAATCTCACTAGGATTTTCACAGAATGTTTGGCATAACTGTGTCACAGCCTCAGTTGCAAGCAAAAATAATCATAATAATGTGCTGCAGCCTTCGAGTGCAAACATTTTTGAGCATAAGCAGGCTGAATGCTCCTTTAGCAGCATATCATTAGTCTTACAGAGTAGAACCTCCCAACGTTTTGCTATGTCAGTTGCAGATTTCAGTAGTGGGAAAAGAGTTTTTCTGGTTCAGGAAGGATATGCTGAGCTTAGTAAAGGGTTTTAAATTTGATTCTCCTGTTACCGAAGTCAAATAAATCCAGACTTAAACCACAGACTATTTATCAACTGCATTTATCAACTGTAGAGGCCAATTTATATTGGGAAGGGATGCTTTTCACTCATAAGATGAAGTTATGATGTTCACTTCATGCTTGTCAGAGATGTTCAATGGGTCTAATTCATACAAGATCAATATGACAGTCCATTAACTTAGAATTGGGCAGCAAATGAGAACCTCTTTTTCCCCCCTCTAATGGCAAGTGCCATCTAGTACCTCCTACTGCAATCACCAACTTTGCCACCATCTGTTGGTTTGATGTAGGCCTTGTTAAAGCATTTTTTCCCACACACTCTTACTGAAGTTTCCATTTGTTGAACATAGCAATCCCCCAGAAGAATAATATTATTCTAGTTATACTGGCTCAACACACATGAGAAAGTCTCCCTCTTTTAGATCACTGAAGAATCAACAAGGCTATAAGTGGTAACGTGCGTTCTCCTGCTCTCTGCCTCTCCCTCTCTGGCCTCTGGAAAGCCCATTAAAGTTCAGGGGGCACCAGGGTCAAGCCAAGAACTTCTGCAGGAATGTTAACAGCCCCAACAGTTCATGAAGACAGAGAGTCATGCACTCTTTCCCAAACAGCAGTTCAAGCCTCTTTCGCAGCTCTCAGCTTGCGGTAAGAGCAACAAAGACCCTACAAGGCTCATGTTCTAAGGTTGATTTAGCAGCAGGATAATCCATTTGGTTCAAGGATAAAGTACACACATGAGCTATGGGGAGGGGAAAGAACGTAAAGGTCTAGGGGACAGTCCTAGCCATGACATGCTGTGGGTCTAAGCAAATGGACAAATAAAATCCAAACATTTTAGAGAAAAGAATGCCAGCTGAGTACTCCATTTTTTGCAAATTTGACTTAAGAGTCTGGTAACTGGCAGGAAGCCTCATACTATAGCTTCCCAATCTTTCTAAATGATATACAGTAGGTGGCGTTACTGTAGGCTATTGTGTAAGAAACTGAAAATACCTGCAGGAACTCTTTGTTGCTATCCACATTAGGAGTCCACCCATTATCATCACTATTGAGTCGGCTCTGTTGCGGAGTCCACCTGCCATCAGAGTATGTAGACGAAGCTGTGATTTGCTCATTGGAGATCCGGCCAGATTCCATTCCCAATGGACTGTTGCACTGGAAGTCTAGAATAGGTAGAGTATGAAACTGAAGAGAAACTCTTCTACAGAATGGTGGGTTCCACTCCTATATGAATAACTGACACCAACATCCTGTCAAATCAAATTGTTTACGGCTGCTGAAGTAATTTTCAGTTGTGGTGCAACTACTGCAGAGAGAAAACTATAGAATTTTGCATGAAAAGCTGGGAATTTTGCACTTTGCAAGTGAAATAAATATTGTGAAATTCTTCATAGCTGATTATCAAATCATCTCTAATAAAGAGCTTTTCTGCAGCATATATATACTTGTCCATTTTTATTGATTTTGGAATTTGTTTGACCTTGTTTTTGTTCTTATAGTAAAGAAAGAAAATTATATTAAAACATCTGTAGGCAGACTAACTTTGTATTGATTATAGGAGCTTACTTTTAATCATAAGTCCCAAACAAGAAGAAATGGAGGAGGAACAAACAGACAATGTGGACCACTCTTCTCCTTGAGGATATTATAGGTAGGCTGGGGCCTGCTTTCTTTCTTTCTTTCTTTCTTTCTTTCTTTCTTTCTTTCTTTCTTTCTTTCTTTCTTTCTTTCTTTCTCTTTCTCTTTCTCTCTCTCTGTCTCTTTCTTTCTCTCTCTCTCTCTCTCTTTTCTTTCTTTCTTTCTTTCTTTCTTTCTCTCTTTTTCAAAATTAAGGCTGACAATGGAACTAAGAGGCTCTGAAATCTGCTTGGGGCTCATTTCAGCATTTTTCTTCCTCCACTGCAAACTGATTTTCCTGTATCTATGTGGAGGGAGGGCGCTAAGGACAGGAATGAAAGCTGTTGGCCTCCCAGATGCCCATTCTTAACACTTCCAATAGGTTGAATTTCCCACCCTTTCTGGCCAGCAGATGATCTGTCCAAGAAGAGCAGGAGTGAATTTGCTCCTGTTCTGCTTGAACAAGCTAATAGTTGTTGTCCAAACACAGAAAAAAATGCAATTTGACAGGGTTCTGATACAAACAAACACACAGCTGCAATCCATCAGTCAGCTTGTTCAGGCACAGCAGGAATCCTGCCAGACTATGCTCCCACTTGCCTTAGACAAACCAGGCACTGGCCTGTCCAGGGAGAGCAGGAGTGAGTTCTGAGAATGGCCCTCCTTTGAGTGTGCAAGTCCCTCCCAATATTTATTCATGATGTCTGGTGATTGCAACCACAGTTTGAGAGCCTACGCTATTGCGTAGATCTTACAAAAGACAAAGAAACAACAGGTAACACTGTAAGCATTCAAATCCCTGAATTCTAAACATAGCTTCAAGTGCCTTCCTATACAAAACAGTTATAACTAAGTCTAAACTTCTTGTTTTTTAAAAAGAAAATATTGAGATTTTACATTGTGTTTAGAATTTCTACAGCACTTTCAAATACTGGCACGGAAGCTTGGATCTTAGCATCAATATCTCACCTTTTGAGGTGGGGGGACAAAATGTCACAGAAAACCAAACATAAGGGGTGTAATGAAATTCAAATTCCAAATCTCAGCTATCAGTGCCAAAATTGTTGAAATGTTATTTCTCCCCTCTAAATGTAAGGATCAGAAAAGATATCCTAAAATAGACATATTCTAACTACACTATAGGTCTAGAACAGTGCTTGAAAATACTCAGATCAAACAACCTGCCAACTTACTCTCTGGCGCCTCCTGCTGGACCAAATAATAGCGAGCAGAAAACCCATCTTTAGCCACAGCCAAATCTGTGTGGAATGTGAGGGATAAGATGCCCGTAGTTGAGCGGATCTCTGAAAGAGTTTTAGTGCCACAGTACCTGCCAATCAAGGGCCCAACTGCAAAAGAGATGAAAGAAAAACACTGTTTACCATCTCATAGGGATGTTTTCTCTTTGGTTGGAAAAGATGAAGAGATAGACGGTTGACGGAATAAATATGCCAACCAGATAAAATGAAACATTATAAATCTTTTTAAATAACACCCTTAATATGTATTATGCCACAAATTTGCAGAAGCTTCTCTTTATAGACAAGCATTGAAATAAATAAATTTTTGCATTCCGTACAAGTTGCCTAAAATGGCTACCTTCAACATGGGTTCACAAAATTTAATAGGACAGCTTTTAATATTTCAAACTGCATCCTAATAGATGAGTGATTTAAAATAAATAACCAAAGAAGTTACCTGGAAGTAAATCCTACTTATCACAATTTGACATCTGAGAAGAAAAGGCATATGACTACACAATAACATATCTATTGTACATCTGTTCAGTTCCCCACACCCTAACAGATATTCACAGAAAACAAACAGGAATTTATGTACTTGTGAAAAGACTCATTTAGAGCTATTTATATATTTAACACATGCATTGTTTCCCTGACATGTAAAATCGCAAATGATGTGTTAATAGAGAATATTTTTCAGCCCCCTTTCCACAAAAATTGTTATGATATTATATGCAGAACTTTGTTGCAAACAACTACGTGTAGGATTTTTTTAAAAAAAATTATTGTCCCTTTTTCTAATTAGAAGTTCAGGATACTTCAGGAGTTCAAAGATTTCAATTTCTCATCTAATTATATAAATCAGATTACTCTTCTCTAAAGTGATTTCACTGTCACCTAAAATTGCACCAACTCACAAAGGCAGAGATTCAAGTGTAAGAGACAAAGAAGAGATTTAATTTTCCTTCAGAGTTAATTCCTTTCTAAGAACAAAGCAACAATAAATGAGATTGCACAAAACAGTGACAATATTAGCAATTTATGACTGTCACGGAATTCTTCAGTCTCAAAGTGAATTGTTCGCTTGACATTGGCCATCCCGAGAAGTAGACACAGGCAGTATATCCTTTAGTCCTTACCTTGAGGAATACCATCCCAGATGTCCAGCCAATCGTATTTACAATCTCCCTCCCCAACTTGCAGAGGGTCATGCTCTAGGTCAAATGTTAAAAACTGAAGGACAATCTCCATTTTCGGCTTGGCCATGATGGTGAAGGCACAGTCCAAATTGTGTGGATACTTATCAGGGAAGCCTGGGGATTCAATGGTGCCATTTGAACTGGTGAAGTTTCTAGAACAATCTTCAGAACCTACAGAAAGAGACAAGAAGGCCAAGGCCCAGCATTAACCTCATCATCAGCCACTTCCCTTACCGTAGCCAGGCTGTGCTATGTTATTCATCAGCATTCTTTTTAAGCACTTAATTCCCTCATGCAGAAAATTGCTCCCGCCTTGCAAAAATATTAATTATTAATATCACTGTCCCCATTTCATTTTCCATCCAAGTGGCAATTCTCAGGAAACAACAACACCTGCAGACTAGCAGCTTAAGCCTTGGAAAAACAGCACATCTTCCACAATGGCTAAGTTAAGACTGCTTGGGAAAGGAAGGACATGTGTGAAGGGTTCTGGTGAAAAGAGAAACAGAGCTGCCTTTCTCCCTTCATCCACGGTAATCATCGAAACTGAAATGCCAGTTATTTCTATCCTTAAGGAATGCCTTTCTAACTGCCAGCCGTGGGGACAATATTACCATTTATTTAGGGATGACCCCAACACTGGCCCTCATTGTGCCTCAGCAGCTAAGTGCCTTCTATTTTTTGCAGAGCCAAGGTGCCTTAGGGAGAAGGAGGCTGCATTCTCTTTAGGCCATCATTGCATTAAGGCCACTGCTCTGGAGAGAAGAACAGACAATAGACAATTGAATTCTCCAGGCCACGGGTCACTAAGATGAGGGAAATGGGAAGAGAAGGTTACAAGCCCCTCTGGTTCCACAACTATAGCAGAAGATACCTTTCACCACTCTTGCGCCCTTGGCTGGTTTTTCCAAGGAAAAGTTAACACAATTCCCACAACCATTCTAACAATTTGCACAGACTTCTGCTTCTCTTGAAGAAGCAGGACTGGACTTAAACACACAGAAGCCTGTGGAAATCTATTTAAATCAAACATCATGCAAAACAAGTGAGATTTAACTGAACAGCTAATTCAACAGCATCTGGAAACAAATCATCAGATCTGTTAACATCACTGACCAACCATGTTTGAGAGTGTGTTTCGAACATTATACTTATGTATTATATTGGGGGGGGGGAGGAATTAATTTTAAAGGGTTGTACTCTACAGTATAAAACACATACAGAACTTTCAGGAATATGTTAAATTTTTTCCCACTACTGATCAATATCCTCATCACTGAATGATGCTATGATTCTAATAATTACTTTTTTATAATAATTTTATCAGGGTTTACAAAGATAAAAGATAATAAAAACTAAGAAAAATATAAAAAGAGAAGTGCAAAGAGATAGAAAAAAAAAGAAAAAAAAGAAAAATATATAAAACATGACTCCTCCTTCCTCCAGACAAGTAGAAATAACTTCAGTAACTTAATACCGTCTCTAATATTTTAATTAAAAATATATTTTTCTCACACCTCATTCGTTATCAATAATGAAATTGTACAAAACTCATAATTCAATTGTAATCAGTAAAAATCTATTAATGAAGAGTTACCAGAAAGTCATATTTTAATCTTAAACTAATAAATCCATTTTATATTCCAACTTTGCACTTTCTCTAAGAAATATCTCCCCATTTATAAACAGATTTTTAAAGCATTGTCACTCCAGGTCAAAAAAATCTATTAATAGCAATCAGAAACTGCAATATATATATAGTAACCCTAATCAAATATGTTCACTTTGAATTTTATTTAGTTTTCTTGATCTTTAAACCAATCAAATAATGTCCCACAAGCTGATTTCTTATCTTAGTCTTGTTGTCTCCTCTCAGGAACTTTATTACTTTATTAGCTGAATATGCCCCTTTTGAAAATCAAAGATAACAAGGTTCCATGTCATTCTTCTGATTTATTATTTGTATGCCCTCTTTAATTAATGTTAAATGAATTAAATTTATAATTAAATTTTGTTAAATTTAAAGAGAGATGTTAAATTAAATGTTAAAAACATTTATGACCTAGTGCTTTACTGACAAATAAACCAAATAAAGAGAACCCACCAGAAAAAGAAAGAAAGAAGCAACAAAAAGGACAAGTAAAACTAAAACCAGTTAAGTCAAAAATACAAGAATAAAAGTGCATTTTTGTCTCCCCCTTTAAATATAATGAGGAATTTGCAGATTGAAATTCAAAGTTCAGACATGGACAATTGATGCAAAGGCCTTGTTTTTTTCCAGAGTAGTCCACATTTTACACAGAAAGGGAATTCAGAGCGAAGAAGAAAATTACAAGGAGCACACAGGCATTTGATATAGGATCTAAGCCTTCCAGAACTTCACAAGTAAGAGCACACTTTTACTGAACCCCTAAATTAAACTGGTCTGATAAATCAGAACTGAATTCTAACATTGTTTGCTGAACAACTTTTCATCAGTTAATATCTTCAAAACTGAAGTTTCTTTGAAGATAATTAGACCACATTTCACTTGTGAAGGTTTTGAATAGCATGGCCAGATCACCTCTGCCCCAAAATAGGTTCAACTGAAAAGACAACCATCCCAGAGAAGATACTTAGGGCAACTTGCTTACTAGTCAAGGCTGAAACTATATCTCTAACCAAATAGAGATGGATTAAAATTATTTTCCAGTTCAAGGATCATTTCTGTATTAATACCTTTTCCTAATGTCCACAGACACATCGAAACAACTGACTTTTGCCAGAGTTTGAGATTTTGTGACACTGGCATTTTGGATAGTATTTATTCTCTACATTCTGGAAACCTAGTAGCCTATGTGCTCCACCAGAGCAAAATTACTGAAGTTCAGATCTAGAAGTCATGTCAACTTCTTTCCTAACCTGATATAGGCAGCTTAAGAAAAAAAATGTATGAAATGTGCTGCCCATAGATTAATGTGCATAATCTAGTTGAAGTAGAGTCTCCCAAATCTGTATAATCCCTACATGCTTCCAGGCTTCATTAAGATTTCTGGGCATGATAAGAAATGCTGTTTGCCTCATACCCTTTTCAGTTCCTCATAGCTTATTTTCTTTTTTCTTTTTCTTTTACCAGCGATATAATTCTGTGCATTTCCATTTAAAATACGAGCAATAGACCCAGATCCTATGACCACAAACCTTCTCTTGTTTGTTCAAGACTCACTGAATCTGCAATGAGGAAGAAAAATTGTTTTTATATTCTAGAATTTTCACCTCCAAACTTTCTAATCTGGCAAATACATAAACAGAGCCAATGTAAGGAGGCACTGATTCACTTTCTCCAAAACTAGGGATTTTTAAAAATATTATTAAAAGAGCATTCTGAATACTGGAGCTCAAGAGGTTTCCCTGATGGCAATGCCAACAACAGCCCACTTAAGCCAGCATTATACCAGTTACAAAATCCTTGGCCTCTTGAAAAAAGAAAACACAAGGCTATTGATCAGTGCTGGAATTGCATATTCATGAGGTGGCAGGATGGGTAGAGAAGGCCATTCTTGCTTAGTCTTGACTTTAATAAGCTTTCTCTAAATGACACTTTAAAAAAATATGGTCTTTGTAATTCTAGAATAAATTAGATCACTTAATGAAGAAGCTATTTTCTCTTAGAAACCAAAATACTTGTCAATATGCCATGAAATACTTCACTTTTTGAAAATTTTGATGAAATAGATTTGGTAAGGGGAACAGAACTAAGGCAAGATGAATGTAAGGTTTAATAAGGACATTCTCATATGAGAAGACTGAAAGTCTCCCAAGCCTGCCAAGGGAAAAAGTCATCAACACCTTCCTGAAGAAACTCAAAGCCATTACCTCTTCCTCAGAACAGTGAAACCTGGAAATAGTTTAATAATCAATAGACAGGACTTCTGAATTTCCAAGAAGGAACTGAACAAAGGCAGTCCAATATCCTGCCAGCAATAAATCTATTAACAACTTTTCCCTTGCTTTACTGGTGAGTAGAAGTGCAAATTTGCAAGGCTGTTTCATGGCCAAGAACAGCTCAGCTCATCAAAAGCATCCTACAACTTTGAGTTCAGATGAATTTCTCATTTCACACTAGTGGTTCAGTGTTCATACAGCACACATTTAGTGTTTTCCAGGACACTAGAGAAACAATGATTCAGTTTTAATTTCTGATAGAATTGGCTTTCTTTTTCAGAGAAGCCATACACTCTTGAAAATGATTTGGTTATAGATTACATTAAAATCTTTTGCTCTATCAGAAACTCAAAATGAGAGGAGAGGGAGGAAGGGAGGGAGAGAGAGAAGGCCTGCCTCACATATTTTCAGTTCAGACCATGACTGCGGAATTGTTGCAAAGGACATTCATATTGCCTATTAATATATTCAAAAGATTGCCCCAACTGAAAGAGGCCTAAGGAGTTGGTTGGGGAAGCAGATGAACACTAACCAGTCTTGTAGATCTCATAACGCAGAGAGAAGCCAGCACCTTGACGCGCATAGTCTGAGGTGAATTTGATATACAGAGAAGGGCCGGATGAAGTGATAGTAGGTGGAGCAATGTTTCCACAGTGCTTTCCCAGAAGATCTGCATTTTCATTATCCCCGTCCCGTATTTCAATAAAATCATACCTGCCAATGGAAGCAGAGAAAAAAGAGTAACATTAAGACAAAGACATCCAGGAAAAAAGTGAAATTCTTTTGCAGGCATTTTATACTTAACACATAGCAACAATGTGACAAAGCCAGTTTCCTATGACCCTGATCTTTGATGCAACAAATATACTACATTTTAATCATATAATCTACTTTTGTAGCATTCCATCATTAATATTGTTCTATTATCAGATTACTCTCTTGAACAGAAGTCCCTGCATACCCTCCAAATAGTTTGACAGCAACAACATTCAGAAAAGCTGCATTTCTGCTCATTAGATAATATGTTTGATCCCCTGGGATTACTGTGATAATCAAATGTATGGCATCCCTAGTATATAAAACACAGAAAGCTCAAGACTGGTCCTCATTTTTTGAGCCTTTCATTTACTTGTGTAAAAATTGTTTTACTTATGTTTTGATATATTCTGAGCTTCTATCTTTGCTGATTTGAATTGTGTGACAATAATAATAGGAAACTCATTTTTAGGTCCAAATGTTATTCATTTAACTTGTTTTATGCATTTGTTAATGGGCAAACACGGCTATACCTCTTATAATTAGGCAGGTAGGAAGTCTTTCAAATTTCATGGTATGAGAATTCTACCTGGAATATTGAGCCAGGTAGGCTCAATATTCCTTATTTAATTGTATTTGTACACTGCCCAACAGCCAGTGTGGGCCCTTGCTGGCACCTTAAAGCACGCTGAACAATATACGTGTTCGTAGGGAATGAATATAAGGCAAAATGACTTTTAAAATGTAGCCCATTCTTTTTTTCTTTTTTTTTAAGTTTTTTATTTATAAAACAGTTAAAACAAAGATGGACATAACGTAACATTCCAGTGTATATATTCCTAACAATTTGTTCCTCATCATACATATAATTCTTAATCTCTATATATACATATTTTTCTATACAATACAGTCTCTAATTTGTTTCTCTATATACTAACATACAGTTTTATATATCTCTATCTTAACACTAANAGAATTTGTCCCAGATTTCAAAGTAATCTGACTCTGTCTTGTCCTTCATTTCCATTGTGAGCCTATCCATATCAGCACACGATAGGATTTTATATAAAATCTCTTCTTCTGTTGGAATTTCTTTATTCCTCCAGTTTTGTGCATATGCCAATCTAGCAGCCGTGAGAATATGTAGCATCAAGTAAAGTATCCCTTTGTCATATTTCTGCGTAGTTATGCCTAGTAGGAAGAGTTCTGGTTTTAGCTCTACCTCTATCATTAGTATTTCTTCCAGCCATTTTTTAACCTTGTTCCAAAAGTCACGGGCTTTTGAGCACTCCCACCACATGTGGTAATATGTCTCTCTTGCCAATTTATATTTCCAGCACGTGGAAGAAATATTTGGACCCGAAATGTAGCCCATTCTTAGTGTTATGTTTGGATGACCACATTTAGGGCAGTCTGCCAATAGCTTTTTCTTTTTTTTCTACCTTTTCCAAAATTGTTAGTGTCTTCCCACCCCTGCCTCCACTTTATACTTTGCTTTCATCAGATAAATTGTCAACCTAGAAAACAAAGAAAAAGGAAGGGCAATGTGGGTGGAAAATTGGGAGATGGTTTATGCTCCATGTATTCATCAAAGAACCTGCCCCATAAATCTAGCCACCAACCACAGACTTAAACTGGGACATGAGACTAACCCTGCTCTGGTTGCCTTGGGGAATGACCTGTGCTTGGAAATGGTCCTAAGAATAAGTCATTGCTGTTTCTTTTGGACTTCTTCTAGATACATACCACTGACCACAGCATCCTTTTTGCTGGGATGCTGTCAGGATTGGGCTTTGGTAATTCTGTTTAACTGCAATTTTGTCCAGAAAATAGTGTTGGAGAACCAAAGAGCTCCACCCTCTCCAAATGCATTCAGTATCTAAACAAAACCACTGGGACAGTCATGCTGCACTCATTGCAATGAGATATCAAGAGGACATTTTGACACCTAGTTCTTTGAATAATGCCTAAGTTTAATAATGGAGAGGATGGGAATGAACAAATCCAAAGAAGTTTTCAGATAATTCTGTTGTTAAATAAAAGAGAGAGAATGATGGGGCTGCAGCACTTGTGGCTTGCTTTAAGAGTAGAATGAGTTAATCTGAAGAGGAACTTAGCAGCTCATAGCTTATTCATTGTGTAAGACCTTTTCCCACTCCATTTTCTTTCTCTTCCTGTAGATGCTTTTCACGATTCTTTCCCTGTTTTGCCCTTGAATGCATCCCTTTCCCTATGTGCCTCTCCCCTGGGCTATGTCCAAGCTGATCACGTTCAACATACTCTTTTCAAAAAGATTAAAAAATCAAGGCAGAATTAGATTGAGAAGTCTGAAATGGTTTTCTTGTTTTTCAGCATTACGATTACGACTCACAGGTATACTATATTTTGGTTACTTTGTTCAAACAGACTTGTGATTCCTGACACGAACTCTCCCCTTAATTTGTAGCACCATGTAGATGCATATTCAGAATACATTTTTCAGGAAACTGCCCATCCCCTTCCTTTTATTTATTTGCACGGGGTTAACTTATTTTTTAAAAAACACCAGCATGTTACCACTCCCCCCCCTCTCCTTTGAAGAGGAGGAAGAGGAGGAGGAAAGAAAAGTGATACATTGCCAGGCTTCTGGCTTTGTCACAAGATCCCTTTATTTGTGAATCAAGAGCTGAAAGGAAAAATAGCATGTTCGACATGAAATGATTCTCATGTGACTCATTCCTTCCCCTTGAGGCACACATTGCCAAACAACTACCCTACACAAACTTATAGGAACTCAATGTGCTACCAGCTTAGACTAACTGAGTAGTCTTTCATATCACTCCTTTCTAGGAGTCAATCAGGCTTCACTCCAAAAACAAATGCCTGAAGCTATGATACCTTCTATCTATAGGCTCAAGCTATACACTCTGCTAAGGATTGCTGCAGCCAAGTCTTGCAATCCTGTGGCTTATAGTAAGATCCATACCTCAGCCTGTCAAAAGAAAAGGGCAAGAAATGTCCTTCAAGTAGCAAGGGGAAAAGCAGGAGTGAATACCAGCCTTAAATAGCCGGACTTTACCTACCTAGGAAGGGAGCCAAAGAGAGATGTGTTTGAAGGACAAAGAATAAGGCAACTAGGAAGAACTCTTGCTATGAATACTGCTATTTGAAAAGCAGAAAGAAGAGGGGCACTGGAAAGGGCACAAGCTGTGGTACTGGAACAAATCTGCTTCCTCAACCACCATAGGAGAAAGAAAGGGATTTATTTTCCCAGATAGAGTATCTTTTCATATCTGAGAACCACTGTAGAACAATGATGCTACAATGAAAGTCTTTGAAAAGGCATATGCCAGTTAAAGAACCAATAAGCTTCCCAAAACTCCTTCCAAACTTGGTCCCCTCCATTTTGAGGCATTTACCTACCAACTCCAGTTAAGTCCAGCACTTAATCAACAAAAGATTGCCTTCCTTATCACAGTTATAGGATACAGATGTGATACAGTATGTATCACATCTGAATATTACTTAGCTCTAAATTATTGGGATTGTAGCTAGCATGGTCTCTCTCTCTCTCTCTCTCTCACACACACACACACACACACACATCTACCTCAAATCAGTCTACTACAGCAGTGGTCCCCAACTTTTCTGGCACCAGGGACCGGTTTCATGGAAGACAACTCTTCCACAGATCAGGGGGAGGGGAGGGAATTTCACATGCAATCTAGACACTGCTTATGCACAGATGAAGCTTTGCTTGCCCGCCCGCCATTTGTGCGGCCTGGTTCTTAACAGGCCAGGGACTGTATCGCTCCACAGCCTGGGAGTTGGGGACCCCTGTACAGGATAAAGGCCTGAACTACTATGCTGGTCCAGTGTACATCAGTAGACAGATGTTTCTCTGCTTCCCAGTCTAGGGCTTAATCATTCAGCCAGCTTCCTACAGGAGAACCTGCTTCCTAACTGTCTCCATTCCTAGAGTAGCACTTTACCACGATACCATTCTGTTTCTTATACTGTATATCTTAATTTCTCCCTAGAAATAGTTTCACTGACTGAAAGCTGAATATAGCAATGCAGTAATGCTTTTTCTATCTTTATATTTCAGAAATTATGTTTTAGAACAATGCTTGAATTAGAGTTTGAAACTATGGTTGAATATGTAAAAGGAAGCTGTGGGGCTTTCAAGCTCAAAGCTATATAAGAGCAATAGCTTTTTTAGAAAGAGTCCAATGTTACACCCCCGGATGAACAACTTCTGTGTAAAACCAGTAGGGTGTCCTTTGTTACATCAAGTTCCACACTTAGCTACAAATAGAACTATGCTGTATGCACCATCCAGTATTTCATCTGCTAGCGTATAAAATGTGTTTGAAATTAGTATTCATAAAATCACAATTTTCCCTGTAGTGAATATTGTAATTTATTCTCAGGTAGATATGATACAGTATGAGGTTTCCTGGAAAAGGGAGACAAAACACACAACTGTTTTTTTTTTAGAAATTATTTAAAACAGCAATATTTATTATTTATTATTATTTATTAGGTAGTCCTTGACTTACCACCATTCATTCAGCAACCATTCAAAGTTACGGTGGTGCTGAATGAAGGGACTTACAACTGGTGCCCAAGGTTATGGTCACTGCAGCACCCACAGGGGTCATGAAATCAAAATTCAGGTGCTTGGCAGCCCTTCCACGCTTACAACCAGGGGGCTCTTCAACCGCCCTCAGCTGCCTATCTCTCCCCATCCATGCCCTTTTGGCACCCTGCCACCCTATACTCTGCTGCCCCAGCTGCCCTTAGCTGTCTTGCTCCTGGTTCTGACAAGGCATGCCAGGCGTAGCTGCTGAGCTGGGCTGGCTCTGGCTTTGTGCTACAAAAGAGAGAGAAAGAGAGAAAAGCAGTCCCCGAGCTACAGTGTCCCCCTTCGCAGTATGAACTTGGGTCATGCTGCTTTTGGCTTTTTTCTCCCTTTT